GAAAATTTTGAGGGACTATTTAATAGCTACTACTGCAAAGGATTTGGGTATTATGATAAGCTTCAAACCTCAAAAAGATGGGAATAGCGAGTCTGCTTATAGTCTTGTCTCCTTAAAGTCAACAAACCAACATTTTAATTACAAGGTATGCGACTTTTTCTCTCCTGCAATTTGGACCTTCGCTATATAGTTAAAAGAAAGTATTTTCTGTTTTAATTCTTAATATTTGATGGTAGAAGCTATGCAAATTGTTGACCTTAATCTATTGATTTTGTTCTAACACATTTAAGTGTTTAGCATGTGTTTTGCTTATTTATACAATGAATGCGAACACATTGCTTTATGCAACTTTGACACCGATATGCACTTGGTGTCATCTATGAATGTCTATTTGTGTGCGTGTAAATATACGTACACGTGTTTGTAGTATCCCGAATACATAGAAAAATGTCTATTTGTGTGCTTTTCATTTGGGTTTCTTTTCATGCCATATTCATAGCACACTTCATCCGTGCCGAATATAATGTTGGAAAGTAACTAGGATCTTCACTTAATCATGTTTTTCTTTTAGACTTAAGCCCGCTTATGATATAGTATCTTTTGGCATATCCATGACCAACATTGCTTCAAATTGCTAGGTATCTTTCATTGATCTGGACCTGAAATATTTGAACAAGATGGAATTCTACTATGAGCTAGACCAGAAGATTGTCAAAAGTTACATAAAGATGGTGAATGGCGTCAATCAGACACGACTTTAATTCTAGTAGCGGATTGCAGTTTTCGGAACCATATTATTTCATGTAATAATCTAAACCATTTCTTACTCTTCCCGTTTTGAGTCATAATTGACAACAACCCACGCCTATATGGAAACTGATGCCATGAGTACTCCAGCAAGTTTTCGTAGGATTTGAGGCTCTTCCGTGTTTCGTCAAATCCAAAGGTACTTTCTCGATAGGAGGCTACTACTATACTTGTTTGTGGTTTGTATACTGTGATTTTTATTGTATCCTCTTCTCTCCTAAGCAAGGTTATAAATTTGTGACC